TTACCTTGTAGCTTCCCAACTCCCTTAGGCGATATAGATGATGAAAACAGAAAGAATGACAAGGGTTTATGCAGAAGGGATTCCTCACCCCCCAGTTAAGAAAATAAAAAAGGGATTATTTCCATCTTCCCTAAATCCCAAGCTTTGAGAAAGTGAATTCCAAATGTTCATAATAAATATATATGCTCAACTAAACAGGTAGGGTGGCAAGGGCATTTTAGCAACAAGAGGAAAGGTTATTTTTTTGTGCAATAGCGGTGTGTCAAAAATTAATATAAATGACCTTTAAGGACTCCAGCTATAAAGCACACATATTTGCTCTTCTTTGTATTCCGTTTGGCCATGTGTGAGTACAGACAGAGAATATTTGTTTCTTTTATTTGTTCTGTACACACAGTTGCCATATCATTGATTATTAGCTGTGCATGTTTATCACATAAAGGGACTCAAGTATGAGTCAATTAATAGAGAACAACCGCTGAAGTTTATATTTGGATCACAAACAACCTCACTTTAAAAAAATGGATCATGCAAAGTGCAAATCTTTTGACTTTTTGAGCACAAGCAAATATTAGAATAACTTGTCACTACAGAAAGCTAAGGGTTTCCTATACACATTTCGTTGTCCTTTAGCCTTTAAAAGAATAGCAATAGTGGTAACATACAGATAACACGGATTAGGTATCTAATTGTGACTAATCTCTGTTCTGGTGATTCTAGTACGTACATGATATAGTTCCAGCTGACCTCTTCCCGTCGCGTTATGTAACTGTGATTAGAAGCACAAATTGAATGCAATTTGTTTGAAAGATTATTTCACAAATAACTGCCATATTGACAAATGTTTTACTTAATGATGTGGTAAATGCAATTTAGAATATATTAACTGTTAATTGTATCTACACACTTCGTATTTAAATCATCATTACTATTTATAGCTTTGTGTACTACCAGATTTAAATGATTGTATAAGCAATGTGATACCATTATGTGTGATAGCTCAGACTTTGAAAACAATCCTCCCTGGCATATTAAGTGGCCTTTAAGGAAACAGGTGTTTCAGGTGGAAACAAAGCTTTCCCATATTTTTGAACAGTTGTGATGAAATATTCTCATAGCTTTTAACAGAAATCCTCTTTTTGGCCTGTCACTGGGACATCAGGTCTCACCTCCTTCTCTTCCTAGTCAATGTCAGAATCGGCAAACTATATTTCCATACCTACAGGCCTACCTTTCTTAAGTGTTTATCTCAAATTGACCCATTTGGAATTGCCACAGAGTCTCCTCCTCAGTTAAAGTTAGATACACATTCTCCTGAATTTCTCAAATGTATGAAGGAGTGTGTAGGATAGCGAACATACTAGGAAAGTTATTACTTGCAGAAGTAATCCTACACACCCTTTCTCATATCATTAGTGGAACTAGTTGTGTAAGTAAATGTAGCCATCTAACTTTAATACTCAAGATAAGGCTTAGTGACTTTAATTGGATAATGTATTTTTTCTTAAAGAATTGTAAATACTAGAAACAAATTTGACCTGCTGCTTTTCCTTCCTTTTCCTAATTTCTCTGGATTAATGGGAATTTTGCCACTTGCTTTATTGTGCAAAGAAATGGGTCCCAATTTATCTGTTCAATCTGCAATGTATTTCTTCTAAGACTAGAAAGCTGACCATCACTCACATGATTTGATTAGTGATGTAAATATATAGAGGAATTGTTTTAATAAATCAAAATACTTGGGAAGCATATGCCTCAAAGAAAAAAAAATTATAAAAGGATTCCTCTTGAACTACTCAGTGCAGTATTCCGTTTGTTCACCATTAGTTTCTATTACAGACTTGTCTCCCTGGAACATTGTTTATATATTTCTTGCAAATAGGAGACAGGCTTTTCCAGGTGTCCACAATACGTTTCTGCAGTTGTTCTTTGTTCATGTAGGGGCTTTCTTAGCTACCATTTGTTTAATTCACTCCAAATTTCTATACTTGTATTTAAACCAGGTGACCAGGATGGCAAATGCACTAAAACTGTGGACCCACATCACTGCTTGTATGAAGGTTTTCTTTGCTAGAGTAGGGGTTACAGGACTGCAACTCAGACCCACAGAAAAAAACCAGTCATTAGTTTAAATGCAGGCATACTGATAGTCTTACACGACATGAAATTCAGGATTGCAAGTAAGTGTCTCTATTCCAAGAAAGAAAAAATGACTTAAAATGCTTTTCACTTCATTCTTTTCCCAGTCAGTGTGCTGGCTGTTCCAGGCCTTTGGAAACTCCTTCCTCCCGAACATTGAGTTACAGATCTTGTAAAATGATTGTCTCTGGCTGAGACACATTCAGCAGGGCCAGTGGCTGAAGCAGTTACTGTCTCCAGCTGTCTGCCTCACTCCACTGATGAAAGGTACAGTGCCCGCTCCAGGGACTCCCACTCCTAAAATGCCACAGTTTATGGTTTAAGGTAAACTGTCACAGATTTCACTTTGCAGAGAAGCATTGGACTGTAGACTGTAGCACAGTTGTTCCTGTAGCACAGTTGTTCCTGCTAGAGAGGTTGTTCACACTTTATCCTGTACTCTGCCCTCCTGCACTCTGAATGGCACAAATGAGGCTTGTGAACACCATTGCAGCAGCTGGGTGCTTCGGTCCCTCTGGGGATCAGCCTCAGTGCTCTTCCTACATGGCAGGGAGGGGGTGAGGGGAGACCATAGGCCATGGAGTTTAGGGTTGTATTCACTGCTCTGTGATAGTTCAGAGAGCTGAAGACAAGTGAGGCAGTTGGAAGAGTGTCTGCTGGTTTTCCCACATGACATTTGTATC